CATATTATTAATCAGCACACTTTAAATATAAACATACCCAAAAATCATTCGAATCCGTTCAGCCGTTCGGGAGATAGATATAAGTCAAGTTTGACCGACCGCAAGCACATTTTCATGCCCAAAACAGTTCCAGAGAATCAGGCTGTGTGGTCGGTCTATTTCCCATGTTAAAGTCATTTCAAACAGACAAACGACAACCAAATTGTCGAACTGTCGAATGGCGTTCGAACTGTCGAATGCATTTAAGTCTGGAGAAGGTAAAACTTCAGCTGAATTAAAGATGGCCGCAGCCACGTGTTCGTTTGTCGAATGGCGGCCACTTCGACTACATCCGAAGTGCCAATTTAAAGCTGCAGAACTGCTCCAATACAATTTAAAGGGGCAGCAAGTCTTTTAAAATCAAATCTGCTAAAATAGTCTTTAACAGGCAATATCTTCCAAGGGACAAAGTCTTAAAGGGGCATTATTCACAAAAGTCACAGTATGTCCCCAGATGGTTCTTAAAGGGCCAGCAGCAGCATAATAAAATACAATATGCCCAAATACTGTATTAAAAGGGCCAAATCTCCCAGGGGCCATAGTCAGCAGGCAGGCAAACAGGCTTCTCCAATGCCCAGTGGCGAGGTTGGTTTCGCCACAATAAGCATGCACAAAATCCCTCAATAACAAGTCCAGAAACCACCAGTGAGAGCAGTAAGGAGCGAGTACAAGAAAACACATGTGCTTACATTTTAGACACTGCATGACCTATTGTGTCTTGTGTCAGAGACTGAAAGCCTGTTGTGTAATATTGAAACCTACATGGTTACAAATATCCAATTTGAGAGATTTAAAACCGTATTACTGTAATTGTTGACAAAGAACGCAAGGCCGAAACGTTGTGTTACTTTGGGCTTCAATAAATTTGCCATTTTTGAATCTTGGAGTGCCTGAACTATCTTTGTATCTTATGCTATGTCCATTGGAACCTGGTGCGTGGTCCTGGTTTGGTTGCACCCTTGCTCAGATTGATGGGATTGAGTGCAGTTCCATATTGTTTTTTTTTGGAAAGGATTTTAATATCACTGACCAAGAATGGTCTACTTTTCTAACTAAAAATTATCCTGGTACATTTATTTTTGTTATTATAGCTCCTTAGAACTCAAATTGCTCCTCACTTAACGACTGAGTTCCGTTCCTACGGCAAAATTCAAAATGCACAGGCGAATTTATTTGAATCTAATGCACCATTGAATCTCATGAGCGTTCAAATTTTGGAAACTTTATTTGCCAATGTGCATTAGATCCAACTAAACAATATTTTAAAATGGTTTGCCACTTACTTGATTACCTCCAGGTGCTGATTTTTAAATATCCATGTCAATAACAAAAATTCTCTGACCACATGCTGATGGTCAGAAAATTGCACAGAGACAGGCAGATACAGCAACACACACAGAGACTGAGAAATACATTAAGAAAGGGGAAAAAACAAACAAGGACAAACGTACAAAGCCAAACTGTCTTATGTCCCAACCTATGACAACCTGTCTTATGTCCCAACCTATGACAAAGACCGGTAGAAACAAAGGCAGATAGATTATCTATCTCAGTCTCCAAGAAAACCAAACGAAGAACACAAAAACAGAGAGAGAGACAATTTGTCACAATTTTCTCTGACTCTTAACAAGAGGCAAAGTTACCGACGGTTATGGAGTTCTATAGAAAGACAAACATATCATTTAAGCAAGTTTTTGGTTGGGTGGCAAAGCAGAAGAAAGAGGGGCTGGATTTTAAGATGTTACATCAGATGATCAATTAATTGTTTGAAAATAAAATCTTCTGTACAATTCAAAAGCCGTACACGTACTTTATGTGTAAATGTACCTGGATTTCTCACTCTGGAGAATTTCCAATGCCTCTGTACGGCTATGGAGTAGTTGGTCTGCTTCCTGAAGTCGGATTTTGAGTACAGCAAGCTGGGAATCTTTTGCAGCCATGGCTTCTGTCAGGTCATCAACCTGGGCTCGCAGTTCTCGTGCCGATCTGTCACTTTTTGAGTTGTTACTATTCCATTTCTCTATCCGTGTCCGAGCTTCATTCAATTCTTCAAAAGCAATATAATAGAGAGTGTTATTCAAATGAAATTCAGCAAAGGATAATGGAAATACAGCAGAGGTTAGAAATGTTGGCATAGGTAGGTGTGCCAAGGACACCTCCCTGTTTTCAAAGATCTTCAGGGTTGCTTAAAAGCAGAAGCCTATTGTAGCAAGACGTCCATGGTTTAGAGCCTCTTAAGGACCGGCTCTGGAAATATTCCTAAATACTATATGTTAGGCAACAGAATTTATAATATCCATTTTTTATATGTAGATGTTTTATGTATTATTCATTCATATTATTTTTTACTATCCACATATTTATAATTTTAGGTTTGTGGACAATAAGATTGGGTCTTTTTTAAGATATATATGAAGTCATCATTAATGTTATACTAAGAGCACCTTTGTAAGATCCTATAGGAATATAGATAGAAATTTGTTCCAGAATATCATTATTTAAGGGGCTAATTCATTCAGTTCCCCATATCCAATATGAAACTATGCAAGACCTATAATCACTCTATTTTTAAATTATTTTAGTAATACAATATTATTCATGTCCCACTTCTGTTAATATGCTCTGCTGTGAGTAAGACTATTTAGGAATATTTCCTGGGATATGAAGAACGTTAAACTACCTATGAACATTCCCTTCCATTACTTTGCCCTTGAGAAAGATGGCGGATGCAACCGCTGTAAATGGAACGAAAACTTAACATGAGGATCATTGCCACGCCCACCTCACGGCCCAAGGTTTAAAGGGAAAGATACCCTTGTCACAACCATGTGACTGTTTGGGAGGAGCAACACTAAAGGGAGGCGGATCTATACATGAAGAGAGACTTTGGGCGATGTGAATTTCCGTATGTGACGTCACGCACACGAGACGTCGTGCGCGATGACCTCACTGTTAAGGAAAAGAATACTGATGCCTCACACTCCCTCCGATATGAGCGCCTGTGATTGGACATATCACGGACGCCATAGACCAATCAACTTCCCTTCAAGGGCTATTTAAACTCGAACTGGCAGCACTGGAATTACCAATCGAAAAGGCTGAACTATATCGGCGAAACGCGTCTTGGACTCTACACCACCAGCACTTAAGGGTATATTTATATTGATTTTATTGTTTTAATATATGTTACAATAAATGTTATATACTACTTCACTAAGAAGCCTGGTGGAACCTAAATGCTGCTTGAAAGAAGGGCTGTGTCACTCTAATTTGGCACAAAGTTTGCATACTTAGAGCCCAGTCATAGGCTCTTTATAAGGTGAGACGCAACCTTTATTTATATTTTGCCCTTTATTATACCAAGGATTTCTACACCAGGGCTAGCATTGCTTCCCTGTTCTCTCCCATTTTTTTTATCTCCATTATTGAGATTTTCGCCTAATATGGACGTTTAGGGTGTGTGTCACCTTAAGTACACAAAAGAGGAAGAGATCAGAGCCAGTTCTTAAGAGGCTCTAAATCATGTGAGTGATTCCAATATAAGATACTATCCTCACCACCGTACCACAGCATATTGCACTACTTTTCTTGAGTTGCTTTTGAATGATGAATTTCAACCATATTAAAAGAGTCTATCTTCATGAAGTACTCAAAATTTACATACCTTCCTCCATATTGCTGGTTTGTCTGTGAATAACAGAGCTCCACAGCAATAATACTCACGGTAATGTGTCTTTAAACTACAATACATGTGTTGAGAAAATCAGTGTGTAAATAAGATACATTTAGCTGCACAAATTGTTATTAGTAAGTCACCTAAATTTTATCAGAACATCTCGCCCCTGGCCTCACCCCTAAAATGAAAATGTCCCTGTTTGTCCATTTGAAATGTTGACAAAAATGAATTTATAGTCTATGCTATAATGGAAGATATATATCTTCCAATGTAAAGAGTGAAATTAAAGTGGTCTGAAATCACCTTACCTTCATGTGTTTCCTTAGACCTCTGTATCAAAGTGGCCATTTCTTGGTTCAGAGACTGGACCTCACTTCTAAGTAATTGGTTCTCTAAGCGAAGATTGGACAGTTCGTGAGATTTTTGATCCCCGTTGGTACCGTGATTTGAGTTTTTTTCTGTTTCTGATACCTTGCTCTCATTAATCACATCCTCCTGGATATTGATCTCAGATTGTGTATCACTAGGTTTATCTATACAGAACAAAAATAAAAAAATAATAAAAAAAATATATATATATATATATATTTTTATTATGACTCAAAATTTACATAGCAAAAAAATAAAAAGTAAAAAAATTCAATAGACAAAACATGTATTCTGCACACCTCCACAAGAAAAATATATACATTTATGGGAAGAGCAATAAAATAGTACAAAGTAACCAACTGGATGATTAGAGTTCCAACTATAGTGCGCTAAGGACAATCTAGTTGTGGTCACTCAGACAACTCAGAGTTCCTTCCAAATACAGTCTGCCAATCTGTCTGTCCTGGGATAATACATCTCTTTTTGGGAGCTGATGACTGGCACAGAGCAGCAATAGATATATAGTAGGCCCCAATTATTTTCTAAGGAAAAGCATTGGATCAGCTGAGATGATCATCAGTGAGGGTAAATAACATGAGACCCTCAATAGACAATAGTGATAGCTGGGGGAAGAATGATAAACCTTCATAAATGTAGCGAAGGCAACATACTATGACAAAGTAATCCCTATTTTGTCTTAGTATACCTTTTGACTGTTGTAGCGGATGGCATTGGGCTGTCCTCAAAGTTTGCTTTAAAAATTTATTTCATGTGATTATTCCCCTGTATAGATGTATTGTATGTAGCATTCGACTGATTGCTCGGTAGTTTTCAGTCCGTGTTCCATAAGAATTAAAACTACCGAACCATCAGACCACCCCAGAGAGTAGTGTGCACCCCGTTAGGCTTTCACACTCTGTAACCGCAAGCTAATTGACCATGCAATCGGTACTTTGTACACATAGCTGGGTGGTCGCCGTTCAGCACACGAACCGCGTGGCGGCGGCCATCTTACGCAAGAAAATCTCAGCGGTGTTTGGTCGTCGAGTGTCTGGAACTCAAATCGGACACTCAATCACCCGAACACCGCTGAGACCTCCAGAGCTCCATAACTCCCGAACGGAGGGGCCAACCAGCCCCTCGTTCGGTGAACTAAATGTACCGAATAAGGGAATTCATACGAATACCGATTTAACGTTGGATGGCAAGTAATTCTATATGTTTTATCTCCCGAAGAGAGACCGGCCACAAGCCTTTTTCGGATACTACCTCGTGTGCGGTTGGTCAAATTGCCTCTTCCACCTAACTCCCAAACCCCTGGTCCGATCTGGATGAATTTTGAATATGTTGGTCACCCACATCAGGTACCCTTTATGTAATTATATCTGACTGTTTTGGGGTACATCAGCAGTATGTATAAGTGGATTATGTGTCACACTGAGGGGAGGAGATGTGAGGGAGGTAACCATTACACTATTGGCTACTGTACAAATTAATGTGAATCCCTCCCTTGCATGGGAGAAACCTTTGTGTGATTAAAAGTGCGGTTCTGCTCCTGATGCTGTGTGTCATCCAGTCATTGGGATCTATATTGGGATATTCGTGGATTACCTGGCTTGCTGTGACTTTTGTTATATGGGATTGTATTACTTGTTCCTGAGCCTCACTGGGATCTTTAGTGGAGATAACCTGTGAAATACCAGCACTCCGCTACAACTGTACAGGGAGTGCAGAATTATTAGGCAAATGAGTATTATGACCACATCATCCTCTTTATGCATGTTGTCTTACTCCAAGCTGTATAGGCTCGAAAGCCTATTACCAATTAAGCATATTAGGTGATGTGCATCTCTGTAATGAGAAGGGGTGTGGTCTAATGACATCAACACCCTATATCAGGTGTGCATAATTATTAGGCAACTTCCTTTCCTTTGGCAAAATGGGTCAAAGAAGGACTTGACAGGCTCAGAAAAGTCAAAAATAGTGAGATATCTTGCAGAGGGATGCAGCACTCTTAAAATTGCAAAGCTTCTGAAGCGTGATCATCGAACAATCAAGCGTTTCATTCAAAATAGTCAACAGGGTCGCAAGAAGCGTGTGGAAAAACCAAGGCGCAAAATAACTGCCCATGAACTGAGAAAAGTCAAGCGTGCAGCTGCCACGATGCCACTTGCCACCAGTTTGGCCATATTTCAGAGCTGCAACATCACTGGAGTGCCCAAAAGCACAAGGTGTGCAATACTCAGAGACATGGCCAAGGTAAGAAAGGCTGAAAGACGACCACCACTGAACAAGACACACAAGCTGAAACGTCAAGACTGGGCCAAGAAATATCTCAAGACTGATTTTTCTAAGGTTTTATGGACTGATGAAATGAGAGTGATTCTTGATGGGCCAGATGGATGGGCCCGTGGCTGGATTGGTAAAGGGCAGAGAGCTCCAGTCCGACTCAGACGCCAGCAAGGTGGAGGTGGAGTACTGGTTTGGGCTGGTATCATCAAAGATGAGCTTGTGGGGCCTTTTCGGGTTGAGGATGGAGTCAAGCTCAACTCCCAGTCCTACTGCCAGTTCCTGGAAGACACCTTCTTCAAGCAGTGGTACAGGAAGAAGTCTGCATCCTTCAAGAAAAACATGATTTTCATGCAGGACAATGCTCCATCACACGCGTCCAAGTACTCCACAGCGTGGCTGGCAAGAAAGGGTATAAAAGAAGAAAATCTAATGACATGGCCTCCTTGTTCACCTGATCTGAACCCCATTGAGAACCTGTGGTCCATCATCAAATGTGAGATTTACAAGGAGGGAAAACAGTACACCTCTCTGAACAGTGTCTGGGAGGCTATGGTTGCTGCTGCACGCAATGTTGATGGTGAACAGATCAAAACACTGACAGAATCCATGGATGGCAGGCTTTTGAGTGTCCTTGCAAAGAAAGGTGGCTATATTGGTCACTGATTTGTTTTTGTTTTGTTTTTGAATGTCAGAAATGTATATTTGTGAATGTTGAGATGTGATATTGGTTTCACTGGTAATAATAAATAATTGAAATGGGTATATATTTGTTTTTTGTTAAGTTGCCTAATAATTATGCACAGTAATAGTCACCTGCACACACAGATATCCCCCTAACATAGCTAAAACTAAAAACAAACTAAAAACTACTTCCAAAAATATTCAGCTTTGATATTAATTAGTTTTTTGGGTTCATTGAGAACATGGTTGTTGTTCAATAATAAAATTAATCCTCAAAAATACAACTTGCCTAATAATTCTGCACTCCCTGTATTGAAGTTTATCTTTATGAACTCATTTTTCAGGGGTGGTGACAGTGCTGCTTTAATACGCAAGAATAATGAATATTACAAAAAAATATATATTTATGCTTTACCATGAATATGAATTTTGTCACATAACTCATATCACTGTTTAGTCATGCTAACAAACATTAAAGGGACACTATAGGCACCTAAACTACTTCAGCTCATTGAAGTGGTCTGGGTGCAAAAAACAAATTACCCAACAACCTTAACTTTCATGAACAGAATTCTACTTTTGATTCAAGACGTGTTGTATAAGTGTAAAGTGACCATGTGTAAATGTCATTACTGTAGTGTGTCAGTGTGTGCATGTAGCAGGGAATAAAACTGCAATAATTTCATGCTCAGGGTTAAGGGTGATGGGAGTTTGCACCCAGACCACTTCAATGAGCTGAAGTGGTCTGGGTGCCTACAGTGTTAAGGCTGGCAGTGGAACGTTATTAGCCTGGGATGTAAAATTTTAAGCCATGGATTTGAATAACTGATCATGCACTGCATCACTTTAAGAAATCCTGATTATAGTCAAAGAGAATCTTCATCTAATGCCTGTTTGAAATTGTAAGGGAAAAGTGACAATTCCTCCACCTCTCTTCAATACAAATATGTAGCATAACACAAGAAGAATTATAAACATAAATGAAAAAAGAAAAAAAAAAATGTTTTACCTTGTGTCTTTGTTATTAGGCTTTCAGATGTCTTGACGCTCTTAGAACTGGATCTTGCAGCAGATGGACTGACTGATACGGTCTCCTTGCTCGTTTCTTTTTTAGAATCCAGACTACTATTGTGAACCTTGTCCGAACTGTTCAGAAAATCAAACAGCAGCTCGTCGTCTGGCTCAGATTTCTTCCTCCTTACAAACTGGTTGGTGGCTCTGTGTGAAGGGACACTTGAACTGCTGTGCGAAACCTCCATAGCTGTCCTGGTGCCAGTTTTCACATTCGCTGTGCCAGCTAACATAGTTGCTTTTTGATGCTTTATATTGTCAGCAGCTGAAGAGATGAAGCTGGACTTTCCATAGGACTGGTGTTTGTCTGTGTTTTTCTCATTTTCTTGTTCAAGACCAGCACTGGGGTAACTACCAGTCAATAGGACATCATCTTCTTTACTCTTGCTTAGGGCAGTTGCTGCTCCTTGATCTACTAGATTGAGCAGATCCTCTGCTTTGCCAGCAAGATCAGTAAACCAAGACATTGTAAATGATTTCTCAAGCAACTGTTACAAGAACACGATCATGACCTGTGACAAGAAAACAGACAGGATAAGCGATCATTTGGCACTTCAACTGCGAAATATAAGTCTCTAGACAATCAACCTGCCTAACTGTATGACAGGTGGACTGACAAGGTTTAGAGAGAGGAAGGGAGGGGTGAGTGTGTGTGTGTGTGTGTGTGTGTGTGTACACACATACATATACACACCTTTACTTTAAATTTATATTCATGTATTAGAACTTTTGTAATGTTGGTGCAATTATTTCAATGATAATTAAAGGAACACTATAGGGTCAGGAACACAAACATGTATTTCTGACTCTATAGTGTTAAGACCACCATCTGCCCCCACCCCCTCCCTCTCTTTGCCTCCTAACCATAGTAAAATCGTACTTGTATTAAAGTCTGTTATCTCTGCCCCTGATCAGCCTGCTTGGCTGACATCATCAGAAGTGGTGAACTAAGCCAATCACAATGCTTTCCCATTGGACACTGTCAAGGAGGCAGATTAGCGGCAGAGAAAGCACAAGCCAAACACAGCCCTGGTCAATCTGCATTTCCTCATAGAGGAATCAATGCATCTCTATGAGGAAAGTCCAGTGTCTCCAAGCAGAGGGAGGAGACACTGAATGGCAGTGCTGCACACTCACTGCCCCAGGAAGCACCTCTAGCAGACATCTGAGGAGTGGCCAGTGGAGTTATCCCTAGGCTTTAAAGGAACACTATAGTCACACAGACCACTTCAGCTCAATAGAGTGGTCTGGGTTCCAGGTCCCTCAGAGAAACTGCTAAGTTTACATTGCAGGGTTAAGCCATCCAGCGTGCAGAACGTCCATAGGAAAGCATTGCCGCGCATGCGCATTCCGCTCCACTTGGGAGCTGACGACGGCGGGGGAGGAGAGGTCAGCAGCGCAGAGGAAGCCCGGTGCTGGATTAAGGCAAGTTGCTGAAGGGGATTTAACCCCTTCAGCGCCAAGGGGGGTCCTAAGGATGCCATAGTGTCAGGAAAACAAGTATGGTCGGACACTATAGTGATCCTTTAATGTGGCTATTATGGTGTCTATAGCCTATCCCTACAGGCTTTTTAATGTAAACACTGCCTTTTATATTGCTGGCTAGTTACACCTCTGGTGGCAGCCACTCAGATGGCTACCAGAGGTGCTTCCTGGATCCGTTCTGCAGTATGCAGCACTGATGTTCATGGAGATGCTGAATGTTTCCCATAGAGATGCATTGATTTAATTCATCTCTATGAGGAGATGTGGACTGGCGCAGCGTTTTGCGGTGCATATGCAATAGTCTTCTAATGCTTTCCTATTGGAAAGCATTGGATTAGCTGAGATTGTCCAGCCATGGCGAGATCAGAACAGTGAAAAAAAAAAGGTAAGTAAAATACCTTTTCAAAGGGGGGAAAGAGGGGCGGACACCTAAAGTGTCATTTTACCACTATATAGGCAAAACTCTGTTTTTCTCCCCTTCATGGAGATTTAGACACCTATACAGAAATGGCAAATAGGTCATGAAAGCATTCCTTCAGTAACACTGCAGGTAAGGTTTATTTAAAAAAACAAACTTTAAAAAAAAAGTTTTTTAAAAGTATGAATATCACAGCCAATAGCTAACTACACACAAAAAGAAAACTATTTGGTTGTACAAAAATCTTACCAGTGACAGTTGTGCTTTAAAAGGGAATTGCATGCACCATACCTATGCCTACTACAGCCAGCTATGTCAGGAATACCCTGGAGCCCTACCCTGGTAAGGGGGACAAAATACAGCATTTACTAGAATCTAATGTGCACATCAATTTTTGAAACCTGGAAGCTAAAAAATGTATCTGCTGGCGACTGTAACGTGCCTTTCTGCAAGAAGATACTACTATAAAACATTGTGCATTATTTATAGGGAGTAATATTAAAATGTATCAATTTATAGGGGTTCGTATATTTGTTTGATGGAGCCATGTAACACCAAACTCAACATAACCTGTCTTAATGTGCCTCATTTTATGCACAGGGGCAGAGTCATGCCAGAACAGTTAAGAAGGGCCTTTCCCAAACTGTTGCCACGAGGTTGGAATCATTCAATTGTCCAAAAATATCTTTGTGTTCTGTAGAAGAATGACGGTTATGCATCACATGCATATCTCAAGGTGGACTTTGATGACTCGTCCTTGGGCACAGAAACTCGAGAAATCAAGCTTCCACAACTAGCCCAGAGTTCCCAGCTTCACGTGCAAATTAACATAATCAGACTTTATACTGCATTTCTGCAGATGCCCTTAGCAATGTCGATTTAAAACATAGCATGGGAAGAGAAACCAGCCATGAACGCCAGTTATAACCTTGTGGGTCTCAACAGTATGACACCAGTTCTGGTTTGGTCTTAAAGTCTCTGTGAGAGCTTATAGTTAGCTAAGTACCATAAAGATTGTAGTGAGACCAAACACAATAAAAAAAAACAAAAAACTCCACAGCGCAAATATAAAAATTACTGTTACGTATCACCTGCATATCTCAAGCTCAGCTTTGAGAAATCCTATTTTGGCACAGGAACTCAAGAAATCATGTTTCCACAACTATCCCAGTGTTTGACATGCAAATGAGCGCAGAGAGGCATCACGTTTTAGACTTCAAACAGCATTTCTACAGATATCACTAGTTATAGACACGTATCTTTAGCAATGTGTTTCCATTGCTAAGGAGATCTGCAGAAATATGTATGAAGTCTGAAACATGCTGCCAGTCTGTGTTCAGCATGCATGGTGTGCCATTTTGTGGTTGGACTGTTGTTGCTCTTAAATGCTTCTACTTCATAAAAATAGGACTTGCACTTGACTAGGCATATCTAGTAGGATAGAAAGTTCTCAAAACTTGTGACAAACATGGCATCTTCCTGAAGTATAGCGTAAAGTGGTATGTAAAGCCTCTCCGTGCCACTCATTTATCCTAGAGTGCAGACCATACCACTTCAATCTATACCTTATGAGCCAGTATATAGGCTCCTTAATATGCTCCTACATACTTTCGGTATTTTAAATGTAAAATACTACCCTATATTTTTTTATTGTTTTACTTCTATATATCTATGAGAATATTCAATGCTGCAAGGATTGTCTGCTGTACCAGTGCTACACTATATCCCAAGGTGGGGGATCATTCCTCCCAGGAGCTTAAGTTGGAGCTTGATTGAAGCTCCATAAAAGTCTGAGTGCACATTTTACTTACCTCATTCCTCACCAAGATATATTAACTGTAGCGGAACGCCAATATTAAATCCACAAATTCCGCTGGTTCAGGAAGTAATCCACAGTCAAGCGCTGGAAACAACAAGGCAATATCCCAAATCTCCCAGTAACCGGACGAAACACAGTTCTGAGAGTGAACTGAGGTCTTTTATTTCAGCTCCACAATTTATACAAGTCCCCATGCAAGGGGTTTCCTGAGTCCCCTCCCAGGGGCATTTCCAAAGGGGACTACATGGGGGACTTATTGTACAGGGTATTTCTCCCATCAGGCACTGCTGCACGAGAGGGATCCTCCCACTGGAATATACCGTTAAGTGGATTATCCCTCCGTGCAGCAGAATTTACAATTCGTATAAAAATACATAACTCTATGAATATATGGTCTATTTAAACGAGGTCTGAGCGCATCATTCGTGAGATTACCGCTCAGATCCCAGCTAAAACAACTGAACGCCGCACGAAAAACACATTTATTAAAAGACATTAAATGACCGATTGCCTTCCAGGGAATGAAATACCGAACGGCCCGGAACTCCCGAATGGCCTGGAGGCTCAGCGGTGTTCGCGCCGTTGAGTAGCCATTTTTAGTACCATGCCCTCGACGACCTAACACCGCTGAGGGAACAAAGGATCCAAGATGGCCGACCGCCGCCTATTGTTGCAATCGGTTAACAAGCGCCACACGCCTCTGAGTGTGTGGGCTACTATATGGAGTGTTTTCGGTTCACGAACGGCCCGCAAAAGTGCCGTTCGTGAAACGAAAGAAAAACCCAATACAAATAGCTATCTGCATTCGGCAGATAGCCAATAAAAGGTAATACAGCCAGCATACATTATACTTAGTCACACACATATCCCACAACCATACAGGCAACCCTTAAAGGTACAGTCTCTTTATATTGTCAAAGTAGCTAGGTTTGCCACATTAACCTACTACAGTTCCCTTATTTCTCTTCTTATCGTTACGTATATCTCTTAAGGACATCCCAGATGCCACATCAACCCCTTTGCATTAAATGACTGTGATTCTACCGGACAAGAGAGATAATGGATTTGGTTGTTAGGCGGCCTTACTGAAACATCAGTATTTTATAAGTACTGAGTCTCCTTTTGTTCTACCCGGAAAAGGCAGGATAATCTTGTGGTGTGGGGGAGCAATACAGAAGCTTTACCTTGGGTCACCTTACTCTCAGAATAGCAGCAAGTGGCTGACAATGCGCAAAGGAAAGTATGGAGAGGAGATATGACATACTATCATATCTCGCCACTATTTCCTCCACTGCTGAAAGCTATAGTCCATTGCAATAGCATTCCTTCTGCTTAACCGTGGCAAGGCCCCCAAAAAACTGCCTGTCAGGTGCCCTGAACTTCATGTCCCTGGCGTCAGGAAATACAATTCAACATCCCTGAGTCAATACGAGCTTATATTATTCTCTAAGTGAAGAACTTGGCCATTGGTTCTAATCCTGTCCCTACTTTTATTGCCTGCCACTAAGTTTAAATAGGCAAATTGACAACACATGCATAATCTCATTCGTGGCAAAGTAGCAACAGTGGGTTGTCAGAATCCATTTCATGAACACAGTGCTGTTTGAGTGTATCTAATATCACTCCTATGAAGACTTAAAGGAACACTATAGTATTAAAAATACAAACACTAAAGTGTATCTTTGTTCCCCCCCATCAACAGGGTGAAAAATAAAAAAAAATTAAATCCCCTTTCACCTACCTTAGGTCCCTTGGCGCTGGCGCCGTCTCCTCTGATGTCAGCACAAGGGGTAACATAATGCACATGCATTAGGCCTTCCCCACAGGAAAGCACTGAAACATTATTTTCAAATGGGGATTTAAAGAATGCTGGATGTCCTCATGCAAAGCATTACAGGACCACTATAGGCACCCAGACCACTTCAGCTTAATGAAGTGGTCTGGGTGCCTGGTCCATCTAGGTTTAACATTTTTTGCTGTAAACGTTTGCAATAGGGTTAATCCAGCCTCTAGTGGCTGTCTCATTGACAGCCGCTAGAGGAGCTTCCGCACTTTTCACTGTGATTTTCACAGTGAGAAGACGCCAGCGTCCATAGGAAAGCATTGAGAATGCTTTCCTATGGACTGGCTGAATGCGCGCGCGGCTCTTGCCGCGCATGCGCATTCAGCCGATGACGGAAGAAGAGGGAGGAGAGTCTCCAGCGCCGAGGGAGCCCGGCGCTGGAAAAGAGGTAAGCAACTAACCCCTTCCTCCCCCCTCAGCGCCACGGGAGTACCATGTGCTATATAATACACAGCACCCAGAAGCTGTAATATAGTGATAGTTACACATTACAGAGGATGTTGTATATATAGTCTATATAATGGTTACTGTGCCATATACACATTACAGAGGATGTTGTATATATAGTCTATATAATGGTTACTGTGCCATATACACATTTACAGAGCATGCTGTATATATAGTCTATATAATGGTTACTGTGCCATATACACATTACAGAGGATGCTGTATATATAGTCTATATAATGGATACTGTGCCATATTCACATTACAGAGGATGCTATATATATATATATATATATATATATATATATATATATATATATATATATATATATATATATATATATATATATATATATATATTCTGTATCAGGGTTAGGCAACCTATGGCACTAGTGCCATGCACGGCACTCGTGGTGTCTTCGCACGGCACTCAAGGCTGCTAGAGCCAAACAGGCTGTGGCCTATCAGGAGTCCCAGTGAAACTTCAGATATCTGCTAATACGAACAGGTGGTGAAGCTCTCTCCTGGTGCTCCTTGTAGCGGATGGCATTGGACTGTCCTCCAGGATTGTGTTTAAAGGACTGTTTGTGTGTTTAGCTTACTGTATAATTGAAATTGTATGTGGAATTCGTATGCTTGTTCGGTAGTTTCCATTCATATTTCATACGAATGGAAACTACCGAATCAATAGACCACCCCAGAGAGAAGTGTGTACCTCATTAAGGCTTTCACACTTCTCTAACCACAGTTAATCAGTGTTTTATTGCTATATCTGGGTGGCCACTATTCGGTAAGCGAACACGTGGCGGCGGCCATCTTACGCACGAACTCTCAGCGGTGTTTAGTCGTCGAGTGTCTGGAACTCAAATCGAACACTCGATTACCCAAACACTGCTGAGACCTCCAGAGCTCCCGAACGGAGGGGAGAATCAACCTCTCGTTCGGTGAATTCAATCTAACGAACAAGGGGATTCATGCGAACGCATTATTAGCAATGGATGGCAAAGATTAGTGACTGTTTTGCCTCCCGAACGTAGACCGACCGCAGGGCCAAATCACATTAAACCATTTTCGGCTACCCCCTCGTGTGGGGTCGGTCAAATAGTTTATTCCCCATAACTCCCGAACCCCGGGTCTGATCTGGGTGAATTTTGAGTATGTTGGTCACCCAGATCAGGGCTGCCAGGGGATGCCACTTAGATCCTTGTACCACACAGTTTTGGGGTACATCCAGAAAACAGGGAAAACTGTACCAGAAATAAGTGGATTAAGTGTCACACTGAGGGGAGGGAATGTATGGGAGGGAACTACTGTACCATTGGTTACTGTGTTAATTATTGTAAATCCCTCCCTTGCATGGGAGAAACCTTTATAAGGAACTGCTGTGATTAAAAGTTTAGTTCTGCTCCTGATGCTGTGTGTCGTCCAGTCATTGGGATTGCGATTGGGATGTTGTTGGAGTATTTTGCCTGCTGGAAATATTACCCTGTGGATTTATAATACTTGTTCCTGAGCCTTACTGGGATCTAAAGTGGAGATAGGCTGTGTAAGACCAGCTCTCCGCTACACTCCTCCTACCTCACCCAGCAATATTTTAGTGTTTCTTTCTCTGGCTCTGCCTCTTCCTCCCAACATCTCTCTGTTGGTGTCCCCCAAGGCTCAGTCCTTGGTTCCCTACTGTTCTCGATCTACACTGCCTCCCTTGGTAAACTCATCAACTCCTTTGGCTTCCAATATCACTTCTATGTAGATGACACGCAAATCTATCTGTCCTCCCCTGATCTCTCCTCGCCCCTCTTGACTAGTGTCTCTGACTGCCTCTCTGCTATTTCTAACTGGATGGCTGCCCACTTCCTTAAACTCAAATTGTCCAAAACAAAACTTCTGGTCTTTCTTCCCTCAAGTGTTGCTACTCTCGTCTCTGTCTCCCTCCACGTTAATGGTGCTACCATTAGCTTCACCACGCAGGCTCGCTGCCTAAGTGTTCTCTTTGACTCCGACCTCTCCTTCACCCATCATGTCCAATCGATCGCCAAATCCTGCCACTTCCATCTCAAAAACATTGTGTGCATCTGCCCCTTCCTAACGCCAGATCCACGCCACTGTCTTTTCTCGCCTTGACTACTGCAATCCACTTCTCAGTGGTCTTACGTGCTCCCAACTTGCCCCATTGCAGTTTATAATGACTGCGGCGCCCACACCTCCCATGCCTCACCCCTCTGTCAGTACCTGCATTGGCTTCCCATAAGATATAGGGCTCAATATAAAATTCTGGTTCTTGCTACTTCCAGATATATCCTCCCTAATACACAAGTATGTCCCGTCTAGGCCTCTTCGCTCTGCCGAAGACCTGCGTCTATCCTCTGATCGTACTCCCACATCTGATGCTCGTTCCTGTGGAACTCCTTTCTCTTCTCCGTTAGATGCTCACCCAGTCTCCACTACTTCAAAAAAAATCATTAAAAACTCACTTTTTCACAAAAGCATATGAATTAAACTGTTAATGGCAAAAAAAAAAAAAACACTGTCTTCAGTGAATACTATGCTACCTATCTACCTCCCTAATACTTCCCTTACCTTTTGTGTCACTATACCCCACTCCCTCTAGCATGTAAGATCATTGAGCAGGGCCCTCAACCCCTCTGTTTCTGTTCGTCAAACTTGTCTGGTTACAATTACATGTTTGTTAGTTCACCCATTGTAAAGCACTATGGAATTTGTTGGCGTTATATAAAAATAAAAATAATAATAATAATAATAATAATAATAAAAGGACAATCCTCAGTTTATGCATTGCAGCATGTAGAGGAAGGTCAATTCCTCTCAGCACTTGTGAATGGGAATCTGCACTGTAGTAGAACATCCCGCAGCCAACCTGGTCCAAACTGGAACACAGGGAAGCCACAAACAACAAAGATAGTGTGCAGCGCAAAACAAAGTGATGCCACAGAGTCTTAATGAATTTTTGATTTATCTTAACACTAATTCTTGGGGTATTAAACTTACCTCTGAAATCAGTAATCAAGAAGTCCATTTTTTAGACCTTAGGATTTTTATTAAAAATGGTAAGATTATGACGAGTACCTATTTTAAAACTGTCGACGTCAACAGTTATATTGACTGCGACAGTTGTCATTTTAAACCTTGGCTTTTTAATATCCCCAAAGGGCAATTTACAAGACTTAAGAGAAATTGTATGGAAGAAGACACTTTTTTTAAACCAATCTGAAGTTTTAAAAAAACAGTTTTATCAGAAAGGATATGAGAAAGAAAGTATAGAGAAACAATTTAAAGCAGTATGTACTAGACCCAGAGAAGAACTTTTAACTTATAAAGAGAGAGATAATAGTAAGCAAGAAGAAAGAGTCTCCTTTATTTGTGATTTTAACTCTCAGAGTCATTCTTTTAAAAATTTTTTAAAAAGACATTGGCATATCTTAAAGCAAAATGAGGATTTACATACCTTTATAGGAGACCAACCGAGGATAATATATAGGGGTGCCAACAATTTTAAAAACATCTTAACTCATAGTTGTATACCTAAAAGGATGGGACCTAATAAAGATGTATATGGTAATCCCCTGAAAGGCTTCTATAATTGTGGGAACTGCAAAGCCTGTAAAACTAGCAGAACTTTGACTAAGAAAACAGAAAAGTTCCAGTCTAATACCACTAAAAAGGAGTATAGTGTTAAAGAATTTATAACCTGTAGCTCCAATAATGTAATTTATTTATTAACGTGTATATGTGGTTTACAATACGTGGGTCGGACTATCCGACCACTAAAGACGAGGATTAGTGAACATTTAAGGAATATACAGAATGGGGTATTAACCCATTCTGTATCTGCACATATCCACGAAAACCATAATGGAGATACTAAAGTTCTGCACTTTATGGGGATCCAAAAGGTCTCAAAACCTTGGAGAGGGGGTGACTATCTCAAGATCCTCAATAAGACGGAAATGAGATGGATCTTTGATTTAGAAACCCTCTCTCCTCATGGGTTAAACATTGACTTTGATATGTATAACTATATTTAATATCACTTTTATTTAATGTTATTTCCCTTTTTTAATATTAGTATGAAGGTATTTTTAAGTATTATCCCTCTATTCACATGTGTTTTAATTCTTTTCTTATATCCTTATTTATATGTGGACTTTATTATGAACTTTTATGGATCATAAATTATGATCCTACAACATTCAGAGACTATATACAATATACAGGGAGTGAAAACGAGTTTTCATTGGTGGTCCGTGGAACGCACAGAATGTGGAACGCATGCGAACTGTCATTGGTAGTTCGTGGAACGCAGAGAGACCGGAAGTGGAGCGGAAAGAACACGCCGCGGCTACAATAACCCGATGGGACCAAAAAGGATGACGGTCAACACGTCTGATTGGCTGTCTGGCGAAGGGGGCGGGTTGGAAGTACCCGTTTCCCGCGCCAATTTAGATATTTAAATGTATGTGGAGTTTAGGAAATATTATTGCACCTGAGGAAGACGATTTTGTTCGTCGAAACGCGTTGTGCCTATGGTATTCATATGTGAACAGCATCATTACAACCTCTATGTAAGAATTTTAATACTTTTTTGAATAAATGTGTATACTTGGTTTTGTAATTGGTGTGCCTGTTCTGCATCATTTATTTTGAGGAACAAGCTCCACACAGAAGGATATCCTTGGACTTTTCTTTCCCCTCTAAACACTTGAAAAAGAGACTGACAGAGGAGAAAGGTTATATTGAATCCTTCAGTATCTTCTGATTTTCAGTTAAGACCTGACTCTGTTTACACATTGGGGTATCTGTGT